CTCCCGGAACGAAGGCCGGGGGCGGGGCCGGGGGCCGGCCTGACTCTCCCGGGCAGGGCCCCTGGACGGCCCGAGGACCGCGTCCGCAGAGCCGCGGCGATGGCACCAGCCGGGGGCCCGCGGGCCGACAGGGTGAGTGTCCTCCCTTCCCTCCTCGCGCAGCCCCTGGCGGCTGGGCTCCGAGCGACTCGGGATCGAATCCCGTCGCGGCCCGGCAAACGCTCGCCCTGGCCGGCCTAAGCCTCAGTTTCCCTGGTCGCGCTGTGATGGACTTTCACCAAGCCCTCGCTAGGTGCCAGCCCTGCGCAGAGGGCCTTGCGCAAAGCATCTCATCTTCTCGATGACTCCCGTCTCCCAGGCGAGGAAGCTACGGCTCGGGGAGTCAGGCGACTGGCTGAGGATCCTGAGGCCGGGCGGCGCGAGTCTCACGTCCAGCCTCCGCCTCGGGGTCGCGCTGGAGTTTCCGCCCCTCAGCCGCCTGCACCTGCAGCCCTGGGGTCGGAGATTTCCCACCCACTGTGGATAACCCGCCGCCTGGCCGCAGAGACCCGGGCCAGGCCAGGACCCCGATAGCCGGGCGGGTCCTTCCCCGCCTCCCACCCCGGGGGCCTGCTCCAGGCCGCCCGCGCCCAGTCTGTTGGCCAGATGTGGGCGCTGCCCCTCGGGTCTACACCGGGAGTGGGGAAGGGTAACTGAAGAAGATGGAGAAGGGCTTGGGCTTGGCAAGAGGACGTTCCCAGGACCCGTCAAAGCTCCCCCCGCCAGCCCGGAGATTCGGAATGGGGGGTGGTGTCGGGAATGCACACCACCAACATATTTATGCTAAAATATTAGGAACAGCCAAGGTGCCCTACAACAGGGCACTCCTGAAATTCAGGCTCATCCACTCAATAAATTATGAGGCAGCCGACTGAAAACCTCGAATGGGAACAAAGTGTGTGGCCGTGTCAAATCCCAGCAGGGCATACATCACAGATAATTCCAACTGTATAAAAATATTTACGTCCACACAGCAAGGAGGGACGCCATCATGGTAATAGTACATGAGATGTAGACTATGGGTTTAAAACATGTTCTGTGGTATGTCTTCAGATCACAAAAGTAAAGTGTGGTCCTTGAAGGAAATATGGTTAATAAAAAGTAAAGAATCAAAGAGCATTGTGCTGACTTCTTTCTCTCAACTTTCTCTAAATCTGTATTCATTTCCATAGTTCACTTTTTAGAAAAGTTCTTGTTTTGTTTTGTTTTGTTTTGAGTTGGATTCTCACTCTGTCGCCCAGGCTGAAGGGCAATGACACGCTCCGGCCACTGCAGCTTCAACCTGCTGGACTCAGGTGATCCTTCCGCCTCAACCTCCCAAGTAGCCAGAACTACAGACGAGTGCCGCCACACCCAGTTAATCTTTTGATTTACTGTAGAGACGAGGTCTCACCATGTTGCCCAGGCTGGTCTCAAACCCGCAGACTCAGGCAATCTTCTCGCCTCGGCCTCCCAAAGTGCTGAGATTATAGGCTTGAGTCACGGCACCTGGCTATAAAAGTTCTTTAAATGTTCCATCCCTGTTCAGTTTCTTTGAGGTCTCTGCTCTTGCTATATCAAGGTTGTCACTAATCTGTGTTAATGTGTCCTTGAAAGTGAAGGTGTGAGTGGGAGGGGCTCGTCTCACCTCTCTCCTCAACCAAGGAACAGGCACATTGCCACAGACACAGACACATTGCCACAGACACAGACACCTCCGATTAACTCTTTAATTCAGAAGAGTGGACCCGCTGGCAACTCCTGGTAGAGGGCAGGCAGTTTAGGCAGGTTGGGTCTTCTGGCTACCTCCATTGCAAATGGTGATGATCTCCTCGGAGCATGAATAGAGTGGCCCTGAGGCCAGGTCTTTTTTGGGGGAGGTTAGGAATCTCACTCTATCACCCACACTGGAGTGCGGTGACATGATCACCGCTCAGTGCAGCCTCAAAATCCTGGGCTCAAACAATCCTCCCACTTCAGCCTCCCAAGTAGCTGGCACTACAGGTGCACCACCACACCTAACTTTTTAATTTTTTTTTGCAGGTTTCACTATGTTGCCCAGGTTGGTCTTGAGCTCCTGGGCTCAAGCAATCCTCTCACCTCAGCCTCCCAAGTAGCTAGGACTAACGGCATGTGCCACCACACCTGGCTAATTTTTTAACTTTTTTTTTTGTTGCAGGTCTCACTATGTTGTCCAGGTTGGCCTTGAGCCCCTGGGCTCAAGCAATCCTCCCACCTCAGCCTCCCAAAGTGCTGGAATTATAGGCCTGAGCCGCCACTTCTGGCCTGAGGCCAAGTCTTAAATCTAGAGGTCTTGAGTATTGACATCTGCAAAAGAGGGCATAAATGCAACCCTAAACTCACTACCCAATCCAGGCAGGCTCTCTATTCTATATTCTCCTGTCTTTGTTATTCTAGAGCTGTCTTTAGATCATATTGGTGTAGTAATTAAATGAGGTGGTTAGAATAGTTGTAAGGGGGGGCTCAAAGATGCTCTGAATTCAGACAGTTGACAGTTTATTTGCTTAATGGCTATGTAGGAAAATGACAAATTTGGTGTTGGACAAACATCTAGATAACAAATGAAAGTGTCTATTTTGAGTTGGTATCATGAAGACACAATCAAAATATGTGTTGCAATTTTCTTAAAACTCTAGCTAATTTTCTGTTAGATGACATTTTCTTCTCCTCAGGATGAACACTCTAGCACATGTGACACTTCTGACATTTTCAAAACAGTCCTGTGTCTCTACTAACTCTTGGCACCAATGTATTAAGGGTCTACTTGTTGTTAGGTGATGTATGAGGCAATACAGAGATGCAGTAAGGTGTGTCACCTGCCCCAGTCAACTCACTGTCAGACTAAGGAGATGGGTGAGTGACCAGATGTTTCACTCTACTCAGATGTGGAGGCAGAAAGAGAGGATCTGCAAAGTTAAGCAGGACATAGAGGGGCCCTCCCAGGTGAGACCAGGCCAGGTAGGCAGTCCTCTGGCAGTGATGGAAGATGGCCAAGAGGAGGGTTGGGGTGAAACTGGCCATTCCAATCATTCAGCCCAGTGAGGATGGAGGACGTAAGAGGAACTTTCAGTAGGCACACTTGACATGACCCTGTGACAGACCAGATGTGGGAGGTGAGAGACTAACCTATAACTCCCAAATTTTGTGCCAGTGTGTTTCCCTCGTGGTTAGATGTATAATATTAAATTTGGCTTTTCACATAGTCAACTTACTGAAGTGTGTTGGATTTGCAAGAAGAGATTTTGTACAGAATGACTATACCTCTGATTTTCTTATGGACTCCTCTGTAGCATTTATTTATCACATTTGCTGTGATTCTTGTTGACCTATAGGCCTTCCCCAAAGTAGCCAGACTTTGAGCTTGTCTATCCTATTTGCCTAGAGAATGTGGGAAGGTCTCAGTAATAAGCTTAAAGTTTAAGTCCTTTTTTATGCTTCAAAAATACAAAATGAAAAAAGTGAATTGCATTTTAGAGAAAGAGTAGAAAGAAAGGTGAGAAGCAGAACCAATATTAATATTTCTTCCACATTCAACTAAAATACAGCTTTAGATATCTAATATGGAAGAATAACCAGAGTTGGGAGCTCTCTGACAAAACAGTATTTATGGTTAACAGAGCTCACTCAGCAGGGCTCCGTCCACCACCCCCCACCCCCACCATGTGTGCAGGAACAAGGAAGTGGTGTTGGTGTGGTGCCCTGGCATTTAACCTCCAGTATAGCCCCTTCCCATGCACCATCTTGTATTATAGAGGAGACAAAGTGAAGCACATTGCCAGACTCCTTTGCAGCTAGGATTCTGATGGGAATTGGGATCCCTATCAGGATTCTCTTAGTTGTGGCAGAGAGGGCAGCCCCCAGTGGACCAGTTTAGTAGCATTTTTCTAGGAGTCATTCCTGGAGGCCCAGTGCCAAATGTTTATGCTCCCACATCACTGTATTAAACTCCTTTCTGCTTAAAATAGCTGGAGTGGTTTGTGTTCCCTGCAACTGACCTGGAGAGGGGATAAAGCCCGCATAAACCCACTCCTTAGTTATTTCACTTAGTGGAGACTGGGAAATCCAAGCCATATTTTGCCTCCTGTGTTAGTTTATACTGTTGATGGGCTATCCTCTGTGGGAAGACCCTCACATGACTGCTTTAGTTCCTGGCTGCTCTTACTAGTTTCAGAAATGGCTGAGAACAAGGACTCCTGTGACCAAGATCCAGTTAGCTTCCCTCTATTACATATTGCCTTATGACCTTCCAGTCTTCTGGCAAAAGACTGAAGAAAATGATATGCTAAGTAATATGGCCAAGATGTATCCTCCGTGTCCTAGGAAGCTTGCTTCTGACACCTTGGGCCATTAGCTTTGGGTGGGGATGGAGCAGGAGACATAGCATATCCAGACACTAGAACAGAGCGAGCAGTCTCCCAAATTGTTTCCTCCTTCCTTGGTCATGGAGTTGAGGCTAACTTGAGGGCATCCATCAACATTGTCTCCAGCCTCCCTTGCACAAGGCGGAGCCACGTGGCTGAATTCTCACCGAAGGGATAAGTGTCATTAGATGAGTCACTTCTAGCGTGAGATTTACCAGGCTTTGCTCCTCACCACATGAGCCAGAATATGCTCACGGTTCTGATCCAGTGTCAGCTTTGCTGAAGAGGTTTATAACAGGAAGTCTAGAGGGTGGCACTTCTAGGCATACCCTAGGGTAGGGGTTGGCAACATCTTCTGTCAAGGGCCAGACAGTAAATAGTTTCAACTTTGCAGCCATGCCATCTTGTGACTACTCAGCTCTGCTGCCCTGTGAAAGCAGTGAGCGAGGTCTCTGCCCTTCCAACTGTCTTTACAAACACAGGAGCTTTGCCAGGTTGGGTATATGGGCTGTCACATGTGGGCCGACCCCCGTTGTAGGGGATGGCAAAGTGATGAGCAACTTTTATTTAAAGCTACCGCTTGGGGAGGCCTCTTTGTCACAGCAGCTCAGCTTTCCTCTAAACCCAGCCTGTAGCCCAGTAGGCTGCCTCTGCATCTGCTCATTGTCTCCCTCTGATCCAGGAAGCGAGGGGTATGTGCTGACTTCATAGAGCAGGTCTGGCTGGGAGGGAATCCGAGGCCTGCCGCTGCCTCAGTGTAATGCTGTGTTGGGCTGTGGGCAGATCTGAAATGAACTGGCCTATTTTTCAATACGAGGTTGTGACTTTGACGACTGCAATCTATACAAGAGGGATGACGATTGCTGTGGGGGGAGGGGCTTGTGGTGGGCAGGAGGGGCATCTCTGAAAAGATGACATTTGACCAAAGGCCCAAAGGACGTGAGGGGAGGAGCTGTGCAGGCATCTGGGGGAGGCGTCTTAGACAAACGCCGAACTGCACCGAATATGGTCCTTTAACAAGTCGTGGGTGGGCTAAATAGAAAGGTGGTAAAGCAGAAAGAGAAGAGAGCAGGTGCTTAGAGGATCTGGAGTCTGCTTTTTTACCTACTGAGCTCTGTAGTCTTGGGCAAGGCACAACCTTCCTGGTCTCACTCGTTTTCTGATTTACACGTGGAGATAAGATCTGTCTGTCTGCCCCCTGCTCCCCCCACAGTGCTGGGAATACCAGAGGATGATACATATGTGAACACACTGGTCGGATGCAGGCTTGACTGTGAGGTGAGGTGTCCCTGAGGGTCATGGGCAGTGGCTGTCATGAAGAGGACTTCGTCTTTCTCTCCTAACAAGAGATCTAGGGATGGCAGCCCAGGTCACTACAGCTGCTCACAGATGTCACTAGAAGCCTGTCTTGCATGTGGCCTCCAACAGCTTGCTGCCCGGGGCTACTGCACCCTCAGGCATCATATGGACAGTCCAGACAGAAGGAGAATAGAGACAAGATGGCAGGGAGTGGGAGTCTATGTGGGGAAGCAGAACTTCTCCACAAAGCCTCCACAACACCGTGTCTCCCTGGCCAGCACTGTGCTGCCTGGGAATTGTTTTTAAGTTGGGGACATTGTCTCTCCACACAAAATACACTGGCAAAGGAGAGGAAAGAGAGTACATACTTGTTAGACAACAAGCAGTGTCACCACAAACATGTTAAAAAACCAAATTGATCATGGAATCAGCACTTTTAATGCAATCTGACTCAGAATAAATGTTAATTAAGAAAAAATAGTCGCAGCCCTTTGTGCAAAATAGGTACCTGTGTTGGCCAAGAAATATAGTATGCTCAATCTTTCTGAAATACTATTAGACATGATTTTAGCAGAAACAGAGCTCTGAGAACAGAGTACCACCTTACCAAAAGTTAGAAATCGCTTTTAGGGGAAAAAAATGGAAGGAAGAGGCTTAAGTCGTTTTTCTTTCTCTTTTCAAGGGTATTTTGGAACGTCTGGAGGGTGGGGAGGTTGTGATTGGAGATGGTAGCTTTCTCATCACTCTAGAGAAGAGAGGCTATGTGAAGGCCGGGCTCTGGACTCCAGAGGCTGTGGTGGAACATCCGGATGCAGGTCAGTGCCCATATCACCTACAGTGTTCATCTGAGTGATGGTTTGCTTAAAGCTGATTGAGAGATCAAGAAATGATAAGTGTTTGCAAGGGCTGCTTTGCTTGTCAAAATTGCCAAGATGGGGAAACAATGGCAGTATATGGGCTAAAGCTTATGGAAGAAGATGACCCCCCCCACACACACACACACCTGCATCTTCATGTGCAGGCGATGCTACAAATGACTATTTGCCTTGTAGATATTCAATGTTTCCTTAAAATAGCAAAAAACGGTGTGGCTTCAGTTTCCTTAAAATAGCAAAAAACGGTGTGGCTTCAGTTTCATCCTGCTGACAAGTGCATAGTGGCAGAAAGTGTGTGCAGTGAGGAAGGGTTGTGGTGGTCACCAGCCTGACAGAACACACACAGCCAGGGTCTGGGGACAGGGCAAAAATCAAGCACCATTTTCATCTTCCCCCTGGCTGAAAAACAAAGGGCCCCGGCAGTAGACACTGTGAAGGGATTGGTCAGCAACATCACTCTTTTATTGTGTTTGCCCTCCTAAATTAAAGTGGGAGAATGAAGCCAAAGAATGAAGTGGGTGAAAAAGAGTGCAAGCTGAGAATGGAACTTTTGACTGACTCTGGCTTTATTCATCCATGCACAGTTCCATTTTGGTTCTTGCAGTGAATGACTGTAGGACCTCGGACAACGCTTGATTTCTCCAACCTGTGTCTTCTTCATCTGTTCCAAGGGGCACAACAAAGGCCAGCTGTGAGGCCTCACAAGTTGAGCCATAGGAAATGGCTATGGCCATTGCTGTGGTTTCACCAGACACCCAGGGTTCTGTGGGCAGGCGGAACAGAATTTGATCTCTCTGGGGCTAAGCAAGAAGTTTTAATCTGGTCCAAGGAGAACTTGTTCTTAGTTTTGAAGATCTTTTTGCTCAACAAGAAGGAAAGCATGGCACTGGCAAGGATAAGGATATGGGAGGGGGCTGACAGTGGTGGAGAGAGAGAAAGGAATGACTCTCCGACAGGCCGAGGGAAACTTCCACACTGCTTTTGACATTTCCTCTCTGCCAGCTGCTGAGTAGGCTGGAGGTGGGTGCCATCCATGTATCTTCTGCTCTCTGTGAGAATTCCCTAACCCTACTCTGAGGGTGGCCAAGGCTGACTACAACAGATCAGCTACGCCCTTCACAACACCAGTGTACGAGTAAACCTCCAGACCCAGGAATAGTTGGCAACCAGGCCTTAATCCCTGCAGGTGACAGTACCAGGCTGTGGGGGCCCATCAGCAGGACGCTATGAGGCTGCTCCAAGCAGTATGTCCTGCCCTTGAACTCTGCGGACCTTCTTTTGCAGCCTTTTAGCAGCACTAGGTTTGAGGTTGTGTATGACTGAAGGAAGTGGGAGTGAGTGAACTGCTGCTACTGCTGACCATTTCTGTCCTTTTTATTTATTTTTTATTTCAATTAAAAAACTCAACTACTTTGTAGTTCGTCAGCTTCACATGGAATTCTTGAGAGCCGGATCAAATGTCATGCAGACTTTCACCTTTTCTGCCAGCGAGGACAATATGGAAGGCAAGGTAAACTGTAGCAGGGGGTGGGACAGGGAGGAGAAGGAGCCATCTGTAATAAAACAGCCTCTTCATGGGAGGCCGTGGAATGGCCTGAAGTACCACTAGACTTTGTTACAAAATCCATCAAGTACCTAATGACTGTTATATAAACACATATGCAGCATACACACGCTTTTCTTGCCCCTTTAGGTAAGAGGGGGCAGGACAGAGAGAGAAGAAACCCATCAGAAGGGCATGGTCATCTTTCTGTGTGTCTGTGCTGTTTTGGAGAGAAAGAATGCTGTACTGTGTACATGCTCTTCCCACCTTCTCATTTCACACCCTTTGCTTTGGCCTTGTCCATCTGAGATAGGGAGGTCCTACAAAACACAGCACTCACTGACCTAGAAATGAGAAAAACAATCTGATATCCCATGTTGCCACCTGTTGGCTGTGTGACTTTGTGTATGACATTTGACTGCATTGAGCATTGGTTTCTCTCTGCAAAATGGAGACAAAATAGTGTTTAAGTTCACAGACCCGTTGAGTAGAGTAAAATGATGTGGACATACTGGGAAAGATTCTGCAAATGTAAATATGATGCTTGTAAATGTCAATGCCTGTGTATTCATTCACCCAGCCAACCATCCTTGCATACCTGTTATAGTCCATTCTCTGTGCTAGACACAAAGGTGGTGCAAAGGCATAGTCCCTATTCTGGAGGCTCAGGGTCAAGAGGGAGGGCAAAAGACTAAGCAGTTATTAAAATTCAGTATGGTAAGCACAATATAGAAATATGAGGCTATGAGGACAGAGGAGGTTGTGTCCGATGCTACTGGTCACCTTGTGCTGCCATTTTGCAAGTGGCGTGCACTCGGCTGGCTCATCACCCCTTTGTTATCTGGGATCCTCTACCTGGAGGGTGCCAGGCCCTCCCTCTGGTCTCTTGCTCTCCAACCACAGTGGGAAGATGTGAATGCCGCTGCCTGTGACCTAGCCCGGGAGGTGGCGGGCAAGGGCAATGCGTTGGTAGCAGGGAGCCTCTGCCAGACGTCTGTGTACAGACACCACGGGGATGAAGCCAGAGTTAAAAAACTCTTCCGACTACAGCTGGAGGTTTTTGTCAGGAAAAATGTGGACTTCTTGATTGCAGAGGTAAGCCTAGTCATGGAGGAGAAAGAACAGGCCTGTTTTGACAAGCGCAGTGCACAGTCCCCACATTTTGTTAGCCATTGCATGGCCTCCTCCCATCACATGGATGGTCAGGCTTATGTAAATGCAGTGGTCAAGACTACATCTCCTCCCTTGAACGTCAGCTTCTCTGGGGAGCCAAAGGACAGACCCAGGAGTGACCTAGCCAGAGCCTTTGGTTTTCCAAGGTCTGGGTGACTACAGCAGCTGACTTGGGGACCCTTCCACCTGAGGTGAGAGGAAGGGGTCAGTGACTCAGCAAGCACCCTCCTGAGGGAAAGGTGGGGGAGGCACTGTATGTGTGGGCTGGGGACTGTGAGAAACAAAGCCTGGAGGGCAGTGGCTATGCAGGCTCCCGGGTCCCCCAGGAATGCCTCCTCCACCCATGCCTCGCTTGTACTGTCTCTCTACTTTTGCTCAAGCTCTAACATGAAAGTGACAATTTGAAGAAAGAACCCAGTAAGAATTGGGCACTGACTGGACATGAAGGCCCAGTAGAACATTCTCTTTCCTGTACCCCCAAAAACAAAGCCCTCGTTTCCTTTCCCAACACAGCTGGGCCTACCTGGAGCCAGACCCTCAACCAGGGCCTTGCCCTAGACAAGGAAGTCGCCCCCAGACTGAGATTCCTCCAGTCATTCCCCTGAGCTCTGCAGGAAACATCGCTATCACCCGCACAGGTCTGGCCAGCCCTAGGAAGGGTCACCCACAGATGCCCGCGTGCATTCTGCCCTCTGTGTTTTGCAGATGGATAAGAACACAGCTTTGTTTAAGACCTGCCAGTCATCCTCCACGCTGCTTCTGCAGAATTTTTTCTGACTTAAGAGGGCAGAACAGAGAGGTTTCTGACTTCCCTCAGTTGCTTTGTTCCACTTTTCAGGTGTGGTGCTTGAGGGTTCCTGGGAAGCACCCCTGCAAATGGCGTGGTTTACAGACTGGGTGGCCTTCTCTCCCACAAGGGGCCTCAATCTTTTCACCTGGGGAAGAATTCTGTCTCCCTTCTGACCTTGTGAAGCACTATGAATATCCAACTAGGAGTGAATGTAGAAGCACTTAAAACCGGCCAGGTGTGGTGGCTCAAGCCTGTCATCCCAGCACTTTGGGAGGCCAAGGTGAGAGGACTGCCTGAGCTCAGGGGTTCAAGACCAGCCTGGGCAACTGGGTGAGACCTCGTCTCTATGATAAATCAAAAAATAAGCTGAGTGTGGTAGTGCGCACCTGTAGTTCCAGCTACTTGGAAGGGTCATCTGAACCCAGCAGGTCCAGGCTGCCGTGGTCATGAGCATGCCACTGCACTCCAGCCTGGGCAACAGAGTGAGACACCAACTCAAAAGAAAGGGAGAAAAGAAAAGAAACACTTGAAGCATAAAGCATGACAAACTACCCAGCACTTTCCAGAGACGATCCCAGTCCCTAAGAGATGAGTCCAAAAACTAGTCCAGAATTAATAAAACTTTTCTTCTTTCAAAATTATGATTTTAAATGCTTAATTACTTCTAAATTCTTGGAGCTTTTTAAATTAACAGTCATCACCTTACTGAATCAATGAACCCTGAATGAAAATCTATATATTATTATCATAAGAATAAAAATATTACTCAGAAAGATATTCTTTTTTTTTTTTTTTGAGTTGAAGTCTCACTCTGTCAACCAAAATGGACCACCACAGCCACCACAGCCTTGACCTGCTGTGCTCCGGCGATCCTTCCACCTCAGCCTTCCAAGTAGCTGGAACTACAGATGCACGCTACCATGCCTGGCTAATTTTTGATTTATCGTGGAGATGAGGTCTTGCCAAGTTGGCCAGGCGGGTCTCGAACCCACGGGCTCAGGCAATTCACTCACCTCAGCCTCCCAAATCATGAGATTACAGGCTGAGCCACCGAGCCCGGCTCAGAAGGATATTCTTTAGTCAGTCTGATAGACACACATTCCTTAGCAAGCTTTACCACATATTATATATTTGTAATTTTTATAACCATTTTGCAACATTTTCATCGTGCCCTTTGAAATCTGCTTTCTGTTTGGACTGATAGAAAAAGTGACAATTCTCTTAGTATTTTGAGCACATCGAAGAGGCTGTGTGGGCTGTGGAAGTCTTGAAAGAGACGGGTAAGCCTGTGGCAGCCACCATGTGCATAGGTCCAGAGGGAGACGTGCGTGGCGTGACACCAGGAGCATGTGCTGTGAAGCTGGTGGAGGCAGGTAATTTGGACCCACAGTGTGATCACCGCCCAGTTGCTTGCTTGACATTGTGAGAACAGTGTGGACATAAAATAATTAACCAGAATTAATTTCCTTATCTGCAAATCTTGGGATGTGGCAGGGGATAGCTAATCTCTAAGACACCTTCCCAAGGGCCAGGTCTCTCATGTCTGTGATTCCAGCACTTTGGGAGGCTGAAGTGGGAGGATCACTTGATACCAGAAGTTCAAGGTCAGCCTGGGCAATATAGTGAGACCCCAAAGAGACACCTTCCAACTATTGAAAAATAAACAAACAAGTCAGTAACACAATGTAAAAGTCTTTTATTTCTCTGTGTAGGGGCTTCCATTGTGGGCGTGAACTGCCGCTTTGGGCCCAGGGTCAGCCTGAAGACGGTGAGGCTCATGAAAGAGGGCCTGGGGGCTGCAGGGCTGAAGGCTCACTTCATGGTGCAGTCCCTGGGCTTCCACACGCCTGACTGCGGCAAGGGAGGGTTTGTGGACCTCCCGGAGTATCCCTTTGGTAAGTTCAGGGGCACATTACAGGTCCTGGCATTCCTCCTTGTGAAAAAATCCAAATGGCTATCATTAACTATGGGGCAGTTTTATATTGGAGACCCCATTGGCAAAAGCATTCAATGTTAACCAAAAATGATCTGAAGAATGCATCATCTTAAGCTCCTAGTTTTTTAATTGGAAAAAAGAATGCCTCTCAGAGCATCTATCATCTGAAAGTGGGGACAGTAACAGAAATGCCATAACTCTTGTATGACAGGACTAGAGCCCAGAGTTGCCACCAGATGGGATATTCAAAAGTACGCCAGGGAGGCCTACAACCTGGGGGTCAGGTACATCGGCGGGTGCTGCGGATTTGAGCCCTATCACATCAGGGCAATTGCAGAGGAGCTGGCCCCAGAGAGGGGCTTTTTGCCTCCGGCTTCTGAAAAACACGGCAGCTGGGGCAGTGGTTTGGACATGCATACCAAACCCTGGATCAGAGCCAGGTAGGAACCTTTTCATTAACATTCTCATTATTTCCCTTTCATCTCATTTATTGTGCACACTATGTGCGCACATGGTAACGAAAATCCAAAAAGCATAGAAGTATATGAAACGCAAAGTAAAATTTGCCCAGCCTCCTGACACCAGTCCCATTCCCAGAGAAGTCTTTAGTCCATTTGGGCTGCTATAACAAAATGCCATAAACTGGTTGACTTATAAACACAGAAATTTATTTCTCACAGTTCTGGAGGCTGTGAAGTTCAAGATCTAGGTGCTGGCAGATTGAGTGCTTGGGGAGGGCCAGTTCTCTCCTAGGTCGTGTCTTAGTGCTGTGTAGAAGGGTAAGACAACTCTTTTGTAAGAGCACCAACTCCACTCATGAGGGCTCTATCATCATGACCTAGTCACCTTCTAAGACCCCACCTCCTAACATCTTCACATTGGTGTTAGGTTTCAATGTATGACTTTGGGGAGACACAAACATTCAGACTGTAGCACAGAGGAAGCCTATTTGTCAGTTGCGCTTTGAAGGCTTGTAACGCTATGTCTTATTTCATCCATTTAAAACCGAGAACGCTTTACGAAAGCAGAGGAATTTAAATCTTCCTCCTTTTCCCCTGTTCTTCTTTTCCCAGTTTTGATTCATTGCATTTTTACTTCTTCTGTGGGTTATTTTTTGAAGTTAAAGTTATATATTTAACTACCTATTTCTTACTTCATCAATATAGGACAGGATCTTTTGACCCCACTCTGTAAAATAGGAATTGGTTCCCTTCTGCCTCTTGCTACTTTCTCTCTCTTGCAACCTCTTTGCTTCTTTGAGTTACATCATTACTTTACAGCATCTGGGTTTGTAACCATTATGTTCTGTTCTGTAATGATGACTTCTCTTCCAAGCCTTTCTGTAGGTTGACCCTGAAAATATAAAGCCAATGAATAACATGTTCAATATTATTTTAACTGTTATATTAACAGGCAAGGTTCATGAAATATTATCAGAACTATCTCCTTCCAGGTGTGGTGGCTCATGCCTATAATCCCAGCACTTTGGGAGATAGAGGTGAGAGGACTGCCTGAGCCCAGGGTTTTGAGACCAGCCTACGCAAGTGGCAAGACCTTGCCATAAGAAAATTAGCCAGGTGTGGTGGTGTGCACCTGTGTTTCCAGCTACTTGGAAGGCTGAGGTAGAAGGATCACCTGAGCCCAGCAGGTCGAGGCTGTGGTGGCTGCCAGTGTACTCCAGCCTGAGTGACAAAGTGAGAGACTCCAACTCAAAAAAATTTTTTTAAGTTACTCTATGCCTATAAACCTGCTTAGTTTCTTCCTTTGTTCCTATCTGAAAACACTGACATGCCCCAGAACTTCTCTAGGTACTCTTAGGCAGAGAAAAGCCCCATACTTTACTTAATCGAAAGTCTCAGTTCAGTTATTAGAAGCATTCAGTTTCATGTCACATCAAAATTCAGAGCAAGTTTCACACTTGAAAACCCTTCCTCTGTGCAGCAGAAGCCTTCACCGGCCGGAGCCATTGTGGCCAGGGTGCTCCTACTGTGTCTCTGCCTGCATTTCCACCCTCCCTACCCACCCTGCTGCTTTGGCTTCTGCCTCCCCAGGTTCAAAGTGAGCAGAAAGAGAGTGGGAAGGGCTGAGACTGCTGTTGCCTGGCTGGCACCCTGATGGGGAGACAGCATTCTCTAGACCAGGCAGGTCTTCACAGGCGCTGCAAGGGTTCTTAGAGGCTTCCACTGGGGACATTCATCTGTGCTTCCACCCTCCCTACTCAGGACAGCTTTCGTCCTTCTGTCCTGCAGACACGCCCCTGAGTATCATCTAACCCCATCCAACAGCACCCTCTGTGCCCACACACAAAGCGGCTGGCCCACTGTTCTCTGTAATCTAGATTCTGCAGATCTCAGCAAGGCGAGTAGTCCGACTGGTTCTTGGCCCCTCCTTTGAGACTTCTGCAGAGCGTCTGTCTTGCGACTCCCTTTGGTACCTGAAATTTATCAAATCTTGGTGCCTCCAAAAACTCCCAGTCTAATCCCGTTACACAAGCGACTTTCTTTCTCAACATCCACTGCAGAACAAAGTGGTCTGTATAGGACTGTGGAGAAAGAGAAATAACACAATTTTACAAACTTTGAACCTCTGGTAAGGAGAATGTTCACACTCAGGTTGCTCTTCTTACAATCTGGTTTCCAGGTGCTTTCTAATTAACTTCCTTTTTCACTGTTGAAAGAAAAGTAGCAGTCCTTCACCTTCTCTGAGGTCCTCCCGTTTCTAATTTATTTGGTACAGTTACTTTATTACTGAAGTCATTTTGCTTAGGGCCTCCTGAATGACTGTTGTGTTTTGGATCATTGCACGTGTGACTCCTCTCTCTCTCTATCTCGATATAGATGATAGAGAAAGAGAGAGAGAGAGAGAGAGAGAGAGAGAGAGAGAGAGAGAGGGAGGGAGAGAGAGAGTAGGTAGATAGATACAGATATAAAAAATATATATAATATACTTTGTCAATACAATTTCATCCCCTTTCTGTATTCTAGAAACCAGTCACAATCTCTACTGTTTTCTCTATTCAGTGATTTTGTGCATTTAATGCATTTTCTACTTAATTATTCATTTCAATGTGATTTGAAAGTCTTCATTTTTGAACTGGAACAACTTTTCTCATGTACATTTATTTTGATTGTTTAAAAAAAAATTTTGAGGCAGAGTTTCACTCTATTGCCCAGGCTGGCATGAAGTGTGCAATCATAGCTTACTGCAGCCTTGAACTCCTAGGCTCAAGTAATACTCCTGCCTCAGCCTCCCAAAGTGATAGGATAACAGGCGCATGCTACCCCACCCAGCCAATTTATTTAGATTATAAAGGTAGGCAAGGAGTCATTTAGGCAAATCTTTCTAGTGAGAGATATGAATATTTATCAGAGAATATCATTTTTATAGCTATCATATGTAGAAAAAGAGTATTAAATATAATTAAAAGGTGAGGAAAGCATACTTTGGCAATTATCAAAGTAGTTTAAATCAGTAAGAAATAGCTTGTTTAATTATCATCTGCTAGGAATCCTTGAAACTCATTAGCTACGAGAATTAAAACATTATTCTGTAGAGTAAAGCAAGAAAATACTCTTTGCAACCTGAGTTCCCAAACCTACTAATATTGGCAGAAATTTATGATTATACAAAAACCTGTATAAACCACAGATTTCCGACATTTCACCATCTGAAAACTTTGATTTATTCATTATTTTGCAAGTAAAGTGGAAAAAGATAAAAATATATTTAACACAAAGGTCTGTGACCTTTGTACCCTTCTTTCTTTGTCTAACGAGAAATAAATGCTGACAAAGTAATTGGTATTCCTTTCTGAGTTACTTTTTGAAATTTACACTTTGACTCATTACATTAAAAGTCATTTTCAAACTCTTCTCATTACATTAAAATATTGAGTAGCATTAGAAAACTCAAAATAAATATAATTCATAGAAACATGTAAAATTAAAACAAATTGTCTTCTTCTGAAAGATGGTACAAGACCTAATGCTTGTTCCTGAAAATAGAAATGAGAAGGGGCCTGGGGTTAATGGATTTTGACAGAGATTTTCTATCTGTATGTTGAAACAAAAGTTCCAGCTTAGCCTGGTTACTCATCAAGCTCTGAGTGAGTGAGTGTGTGTGTGTGTGTGTGTGTGTGTGTTGTGTGTGTGCGTGTGTGTATATATATAAACAGGATGCAAAAAAAAAAGTATACACATTTTAAGTATAACGTTTACTCAAAAGATGGCATTAATCAAATGAATGTTAGCATCACCATGTGACAGGCAGGACAGTCAAAGAAAATGGGAGAAACACAGGTGAGCAAACGTCATACTATACATTCCTACAATAATTTAATTTAACGTTGAAAAGTAATACGTAGATAGCATCTCTTTTTTTTTTTTTTTTTTTTGAGTTGGAGTCTCACTCTGTCGCCCAGACTGGAATGCAGTGGCCACTCCTGGTCACCGCAGCCTCGACCTGCTGGACTCCGGCGATCCTTCTGCCTTGGCCTCCCAAGGAGCTGGAACTGCAGGCGAGTGCTACCACGCCCAGCTGATTTATTGTAGAGATGAAGTCTTGCCAAGTTGCCCAGGCGGGTCTTGAACCTGTGGTCTCAGGCAATTCACTCACCTCGGCCTCCCAAAGCACGGGATTACAGGCTGAGCCAGAAAACATCTCGTAAAATGTGTATACTTTTTTGGGCACCCCTGTGTATATACACACATACACATGCACATATGTATATGGCATGTTGGACTTACAAAATTGGCATGACTCTTTTAATTAATTAATTCCACATATTTTAAACATAGGACTCAAAGGGAATATTGGGAGAGCCTGCTGCCAGCTTCAGGCAGACCTTTCTGTCCTTCGCTGTCAAAGCCAGATGCCTAAGCAGGAGTGAAAGACAACTTGAAGTGACGGAACAGAAAGGAGTACCCTCAAGCCCCACTGGCCATTGTCCTCAGCCAACTGCCATCTCCCACTGAAGCTGCTGATGTTGCAGCCCCTGAGGTCAAGTCTGCCCTGCTCCCCGAGCTCCAGTGGTCAGAGCCCACCACAGGTGCTGCAGGAGGCAAGGAAGCTGAGAGGCCCACAGCCTCCGAGGACCTCCTGTCCAGAAATACTGCAGTGCACGCCTACGGAGACCATCAAGAATAGTCAAACTTGTCCTCGAGGTTGAATTTGACACTTTACAATGATCAGAAGTCACCGAGAACCACTCTAGTGAATAATTCAAGCTCCTTGGCTAGGTTAGAGGGAGACGGAGTGACACACTCAACTAAAGCAATGCGTCCTCCTTTCTTCATCATCCCAAAAGAAAAGATGCAAAAATCATTTGGAGCAATGGCAGGATTATTGCAATAAGTGTATATCTTTCCAAAGTGATCACTTTTTTTTTTTGAGTTGGAGTCTCACTCTGTCGCCCAGGCTGGAGGGCAGTGGCATACTCCTGGCCACCGCAGCCTCGACCTGCTGGGCTCCGGCGATCCTTCCGCCTCAGCCTTCCCAGTAGCTGGAACTACAGGTGCACGCTACCACACCCGGCTAATTTTTTGATTTATTATAGAGATGAGGTCTCGCCAAGTTGCCCAGGCGGCGGGGTCAGGCAATCCATCCACCCACCTCAGCCTCCCAAGGCGAGGGATTACAGGCTGAGCCACCGAGCCCGGCTGTGATCACTTTCAAAGATTATTTTGACTTAAAATAACAGGTTTTAGAATTTTTTAAAATGTGCCTGCATAATCACAAATAGCTAGGTTATAAACCATCTAAGGACAAAATAAAGAATCATTAATAAGCTTATATTTCTGCTGATTTAGCATTGTGCTCAATGTAATAATAGATACTCAATGAAATACTTAATGTTGATTATTTTTATATAAGTAAAAATAAATTAGCAATTTTAGAAGGCCTTTTTAAAAGTCAGAGTTCAAATCTATCTTGGTCTAATATTTTCTTAGATTTGTGTTATTGGCTGTATGCTGATTCCTTTTTTTTCACAACAATGTATCAATTTGTGACAATTAATGAAATTAAAAATAATTTACCTTTTGTAGTGTTTGGATATTTAAAATTCCATGAACAGTCTTTGGGACAATAACAACAAATATTTATTCCTTTTTATGCCTCAGGCTTTGTTCTAAGCATATATACATATATTTATATTTATGTACACACACATACATATATACATATATATACATATACATATACAGGAACTAAAAATGAGATATTGTTTTGTTTTGCTTTGTTTTGTTTTCTGAGTCAGAATCTCACTCTGTCACCCAGCCTATAGTGCAGTAGCACGATCAGGATTCACCAGTCTCAATCTCCTTGGTTCAGGCTATCCTTTCACCTCAACCTCCCAAGTAGCTGGAACTACAGGCACATACCAACATGCCCAGCTAATTTTTTTGTAGAGACAAGGTCTTGCTATGTTGCCCAGGCTGGTCTCGAGCTATGGGTTCAAGCAGTTCGCTTGCCTTGGTCTCCCAAAATGCTGGGATTACATGTGTGAGCCACTGGGCCTGGCTGAGATGGTGTTTTTAAACACAGTAATTTATAGAGGAGGATTCTGAGGTCTAAAGAGACTAAGTAACTTGCCTGAGGTCACACAATTAGGAAACATGAAATTTTTAAGTTGGGATTTGAGCCCACACGGTTCTGGCTCTAGAATCCATGGTCCCAACTATTATATTGCACTTCCTCTGTCATGCATCCAGCTGTTGCTTTTATCAGAGTCTATCCAGAGTTTTCTGTGGCTGAGTTTAAGATATTTCTATTGACTTTCCTTACTATGAATGAATTAACCCTTCAGTCCTGACAGATTGTTTCTGTCATGTTGACAACCTGGATTCATTCAGTGTTGCCACTTTACCCATAATACACAACCCCACTCTGCTGAAAATTAGAAACTGGACCATTCACTGTCATCTCAAGGCCTCTGGGGTCCTTGAGGGTGACTGACTCAAGCCACTGATTAAGTACCTGAATATTTTTGCCAACATCATCAACCAGAACCATCAGACCCTGTTTGGACCCTTCTAATAGCAACTCACTACCTCACAGGATTACTCATTACTTTTTAAAGAAATAACTCATTCTTGGAAATTGATTCCATACATTAACCAGAAATCTACTTATCAACAACTTCTACTCATTGATCCAAATATTAGACTTTGAGCACCCATAGAACAAATGCATAGTTTCTTCCATATGCTAACTCTTCAAAACATTAAAGACAGCTGGGATGACTTTCCTGTACTTACTCCTCCTCAATTCCTCCAGCCAGAAGTAATGGGCTTTTAAGATGTGCTCTCTTATATGCTAGCTGTGTGACATTGGACAGTTATTTAACCTTACTGTCTTAATTTCCTCTTCTATACAATGAAGATAAAAATAGAACCACCACACTGGGGTGATGTGGGGATTGAATGAGATAACAAGATGCTCAGGAGCGGTGCCTACTATAAAGCTCTCCCGTCACATTATCTCGTGCAATAGGATTATGTGGCATGGTGTTCGTCCCTCATCCTCATGGCCAGTCTCCTGGGCACGTGGCTGGTATCAAAGCCTCTGTTGATTGTCAGTGTGTGTGTTTTTTTAACGTTTCTGTTTTTGTTTCCTCATCTGTACTCCCTCCAGGAGTGAACTGCTCACACCTGCCTGCCTGTTTAGTCTGTGGAGGTGAGGGAGCAAGGCCGTTCATGCTGTGAGGGGAGAACCATGCCGGGCGGTAGCTGTTGCCATGCCACCTCCTTTCCTTGGGTCCGCACCTCACAAACTAAAACCTTCATCTGGTTTTGTGCCACACAGTTTAGAAGTGGTGTAACAAACAAAAATGAATTATAGATGATAGGTGGCAAGGAAGTGTGTTAAATCTAGGTCTACATCCCATAAAAAATGAAATCACTTGAGACCTGTCAGAACAAAGAGCCGTTCTCTTAGACTTTCAGAGAGAGTAGAGGTACTTGTCAGCTCTTTGTGATAGTGTAAAAGTATAACTGACATGTGTTATTCAGAATGTGCTAGTCACAGGGTGACACAGGGTGAAAGATGGGAATAAGAACAATACTTTAAAAAATGAGTTTAAAGAAGACATGCAGACAGACCAAGCACAAGAAGAGAAGATGAGGTGTGGCGTAAAGACTGGCCTGGGCGCTGTCCATTTGGGTTGCACCCAGATAGGAAAGTGCAACATCGAAAAGAAGGTGCTCAGCAACCCTGTCGTGTGTGCTGCTGGACTTTGACAACTTGGAGTCCGAGCATTATTGACAGGACAAAAGTCACTCTAGTTTCTCAAACAGAGGGTTCCCTCCGGGTGGAGCCAATGCCATGACCTGGAACAGGATAGGGATGAGACTGAAGTTGACAAAACTGCAAATTGAGCACGGAAAGACTCCAAATTTATATAGTCATTGAATCACACTTTGGATAATAATAGATACATACTGGAGAAACGTGTGTCAACCGTGGAGTTCCAACTCCCATTTAGTAATTGTGCCCTAAAATAAAGTCCAGAACGTATGCCCAGTACTTCCTCTCTTTTGGCAATGCTAGACAATACATCCAGGTAATTAAGAATATTGGAAAACCAAACATAAATATTGTCATTTTGCGCAGATTAAATGGTCACACAGTTATAAATCTCAAGAAGAGCCAGGCTCGGTGGCTCAGCCTGTAATCCCGCGCCTTTGGGAGGCTGAGGTGAGTGGATTGCCTGAGCCCGTGGGTTTGAGACCCACCTGGGCAACTTGGCGAGACCTCGTCTCTACAATAAATCAAAAATCAGCCGGGCGTGGTAGCGCATACCTGTAATTCCGGCTACTTGGAAGGCTGAGGCGGAAGGATCGCTGGAGCCCAGCGGGTTGAGGCTGCGGTGGCTGGGAGCGAAACTCCAACTCAAAATAAATAAATAAATATAAATCTCAAGAAGATCATTTGAAAAGCTACTATAAACAATAGGAGAATTCAGTATTGTGACTGGTTAAAATGTTGTATACAAAAGTCATTGATAGGTGGGGTGTGGGGGCTCACACCTATAATCCTAGCACCTTGGAAGACTGAGTAAAAGGATTGTTTGAGCTGGACTCGGTGGCTCAGCCTGTAATCCCGCGCCTTTGGGAGGCTGAGGTGAGTGGATTGCCTGAGCCCGCGGGTTCGAGACCCACCTGGGCAGCAAGACCTCATCTCTACAATAAATCAAAAAATCAGCCGGGTGTGGTAGCGCATGCCTGTAATTCCGGCTACTCGGAAGGCTGAGGCGGAAGGATCGCTGGAGCCCAGCAGGTCGAGGCTGTGGTGGTCAGGAGCAGCCACTGCACTCCAGTCTAGGTGACAGAGTAAGACTCCAACTCAAAAAAAAAAAAAAGGATTGTTTGAGCCCCGGAGTTCAAAACAAGTCTGGGCAATATGATGAAACCTCATCTCTACAAAAAATAGTAAAAAAAAAAAAAAAAAAAAAAAAATTAAAAAAGCAATTGCTTTTCTATATATGTTCAACAACTATTTTGATAGTATAATGGAAGAAAATATCTATTTTACATTTTTAGCAAAATGATTAAATATCTAGAAATAGAATTCACAAGGCATATAAAAGAGCTATTAAAGGAAATTTGGGGATGCAAATTGTAGGATGCAGCATAAGACTTGAGTAAATCTACACATGTACTCATAGAGAGACAATATTATAAGATGTCAAATTTCTCTAAACTGATTAATAGATCTAATAGAATCCCGATGAAAAGTATCACCAGGATTAAGAGGAAATAGACATGTGAACTCAAGCTTATATGGGGAAAAAACTGTAGGGACTACAGGAAAGTTTGAAAAAGGGGGCAGTAAGAAAAGTGTGACCTTCCCAGATTAAAACCACTGGTGACTTGTAAACATAAAAGAGAGAGAGAGAGAGAGATATTAGTGGGGA